TATATATATATTATATACACACACACGCACGCACGCACGCACGCACGCACGTATGTGTGATTCCGATCCGCATGAGTTCGTTTCCTTATGCAGTAAAACGCAGAAGCGTAATCTATGCGAGCCATATATAATTGTTTCCATAAATAACAATAGATCGATGAGAAAGCTCTCTTGTGATGGGTTCACGCCCATCACATTATGTTTCCATGTTTGAGCTCCATGGGACATAAGAAAAAACGGAGCGTAATTGACAGAATGCTTGCGATTGGACGGATATCGTTCCGTCAATTCAGTAAACGTTCCATCATGAGATCGCGCCATTACACTTCATATTTCTTAATTAAATTTCTTAAATATTGTTCTTGATCTTGATAACATTCAAAGCGTTAGATATTGTTTCTTTTATTTTCATTTTTACATGAAAGTAGAAATTAGAGAAACGACTTCCAATGGTCTCTATCTTAACATATGTATCAAGATCAAGAATAATATTTAAGAAATTTAATTAAAAAATTTTATCCATCGGAATACCATGGATAATGTTCTAATGCCGGCTGTAACTTTTAAGCTGTATTATTCGAAAAGTATTTAATACAAAAATATTTTATAATGTTTTGAAAAGCTCTTGAGGCTACAAGAATATGTATAAAAATATATAACGTCCCGTTTTAATATTCTAAATAACGCTCTGATTTTGACAACGCCCAAGATCAAATCAACATTATCATTTTATATTCCATTGGAAGTCATAAATCTTTCGTTTGAACGTTTTTGATTTAACGTGTTTTTGAAATATTTGAATGTATCCTTTAAAATGGGACACTCTATACAAATAATGTAATTTTTTATATGTATGTGTTGCAGAACAAGTAACGGAAAAAGTACTGTAATTAATGCCATGCTACATGATAAAATTTTGCCAAGTGGTATAGGACACACTACAAATTGTTTCTTACAAGTTGAAGGTTCAGATAATGGAGAATCATATCTTATTACGGAAGGATCTACTGAAAAACAACCAGTTCAATCTGTTGGACAGTTAGGTCATGCTCTTTGCAAAGAAAAATTATGCGAAAGTCATTTGGTTAGAATATTTTGGCCAAAAGAAAAATGTTTATTACTGCGAGATGATGTAGTGTTCGTCGATAGTCCAGGCGTAGATGTAACTCCAAATCTTGATGAATGGATTGATAAGCATTGTTTGGATGCAGATGTTTTTGTCTTAGTAGCAAATGCAGAATCTACCATAATGGTTACTGTAAGTATAATATATATTAATAATAAACATTTGTAATATATTTCGTTACAGAGAAAAAACTTTAGATTATAATTAGTTAGAAGAATTAGAATATGTTCTATAAGTAAGATATAATTCTATAAATAGAAGATTCTATAGATAGAAGAAATTAGATATTATTTGATAAATCCAGTTTATCAAATACACAAAATCTGTATATTTGAAAAAAAAATTATTTTGGAGGAAAATGTTTATTTATTGAACAATAATATTCAATATTTTTTTTTAATAATATTGTGGAATACCGTTTCGCCACACAAATAATCATTGCCAACTATTTTTGCCTATTGAATATGAATTCGTGTGCAAGTCACAATTTTTTAGAAAAATGGCGTCAGAAAAACAAAAAACGACTTAAATTTATCTAAATTTAAATAAAATTTATTTAAATTATAATATTCTTGACGCTTTCATAAGTATTTTTTATACAGAAAATATCCGTACCGTTCTCTGTGTCCAAATCCATTCTTAGAATGCCAATGTTTCGTGAACATTGCAGTTCACTTTTTCAGGGTGCTCAGTATCAGGCGAGAAGTAACCTGATACTGAGCTATTCCTTCGGGTGATTCCCTTTATATGCTGTTTTTTAAGGTGAGGGAGAAAGTGTAGGTGAGAGGGGAAGAGAAGCGTCGGTTAATCTTTAATGACCGGAAGAATGGTCTTTTATATTTTACTTATGTTGTAGTCATCTCTATTTACAATAGATTATTAAGATGTTTTTCTCTATAACCTCTCTATATTTTCTTGGAAGGTATGATGTAATATTATGTATAATGTAATATATAATGTAATGTTAGTCATATAATGTTAGTAATATAATGCTATTAGTCATTTGATCAAAGTCAGTATTTGATGTCCTCTCAATGTTGTGTTCTGGTAATGCTGGGTGACGTGTTTTAAACATCACGTTGGTATTCTTTTGCCTTACAGCAAAACGATCACGACAAAAAAAACAATTAAAATAATCAATAAACATATAAATAAAACAACAATTCCTGACACACAATCAGACAAAAGAATCTTATCTTTCCTCCCATATGTTAACAGGAAGAATATATCAGATCGGCAGGATATTAATTCTTAAATGCCACTGGAAATCCAAAAGATTCCAAGGTTTTTTCAAGTATAATATATATGTTTTATAATCCCGCTGTAAATCGAACTTCTGGCTTCATTCACCATTAGTTTAGATCCCCAACTATCAGTTGAAAAGTTCGCGGCAAGTCTGTCTCTGTATAGCAGCCTGTATAAGAATGACGCATTTCGAGGCGGGATACAAAAATATCCTAGTGTGTCATTTACGTTGTGCAAAATGAAAATTGAAACGACTTTTTTATTCACATTTTTTGTGTAAATTTCATCAATTTGAATTGAAAGTATTAATGTGCGCCCTACAAAATTTTCTTTGTATTGTAATTATAACTTTTTCATAAATAAATAGATGGAGTATAATTTGTTTTCGTGCCACAGGCCGATGTGTGATAAGCATCACGTTTATTTTTGTCGAATGTTCTGAGCTAGAATCAATGTTTATATGTTTTTGTACTTTTTGTAATATTTTTACATACTTTTGTAATTGTGCCCAAAAATACTTTTTTCATAACTTTTTTACCAAATATTGTATATTAGATCAAATAAATTATTAATTGTGTTTTTTTTTCTCTAAAATTTCCTCATTTATTTCACAAAATAAATATCTTATTTAGAATATCCAATGTCAAACTTAGTTCATCTAAAAAAATATTATCTCAGTACAACTTTAAATTTTTAGCGAAAAATAATTTAAAAAATACAGTTTATTTGTTTAAAAACAGTATGCTTCTTAAATTTTAACTAATTTTTTTTTTTTAGTATATTTATAGTAAAGTTTCACCATACCTACACAATTACATCTTCTCTTAGAACCTCTTTTTTTGAGGTGTGTAAACAAATTTTCAAAGCAAAATATTGAAAACTTTAGGAATAGTATACACGTTTTTACTTTTTCACTGAAGTCTAATTAACCCCGTATGGCATCTGCGTGATTTTTTTTTGACGTGTGGCATTTAAGAATTAAATAAATCCGAATCATCTTTAAACCGCCCAAAAGATAGGACAAATTTTGAGAAATCTTAAAGATTAAAGACCTCTACTCAGTTCCGCAGCAGGAATATATAAAATATCTTGCTTCTGTGGAAAAGTATACATTGGAAGAGACCGAGAGAATACGATCAGTCTACGAATAAAAGAACATCACCGTCAGGTTAAAACACGTCTCCTAGTCAGTTATTAACACAACATTGAGACACAGGACATCATACTGTTTGACTACTGTTAAAGTGACTACAATAGCCAGTATTATATTATACTTTCCAAGAAAATATAGAGAGACTATAGAGATAAAAAACATCCTAATAATCTAAATGGAGATAATGGCTACAACATAAGTCAAATATAGAAGATCATTTTCTCAGTCATCGAAGATTAATCGATTCTACATTCCTCTCTCCTCTCTTCTTTCGCCAACACACCAATTCTTCCCCAAGGTAAAAAAACAATGTAAAGGAAATTATCCAGAGAAACAGCTTATCAAAAACTGCTCTTCACCTTAATGAAGTGAACTGCAATGTTCATAAAACGTTGGCAATTCTAAGAATGGATTTGGACAATGAAATAACTTGCGAAACGCATAGTTTCTGTATATTTATTTAAATTCATTTAAATAAGAATATGTATATGTATTAGTTTAATATTTAACTTTGACCATCAAGTGGCGCTTCTCCTATTTAGGTGACTTTTAAAAATATATAATGCTGCGTTCACTTTTGCGTTCATAGCATTTGTAAGTATTATTTGTCTTTGTTTAATATTTGATAAACAAGAAATAATGCTTAAAGCGCAGTGCACGCCAAAACAAACGCTATCATTATATCATAACATCTAAAAAATGCCGTATTGAGTCTTTTTGATAGTCATGAAGATTTACCTTTGGCCGATTTTAATAATACTTTGTTGTTAATATAAGAATTCAGGTTCCAATATCTTTGATTTTGACATATATATTGTCACGATTACGATCTTGAAACAATCAAAAGATAAAGCCGTCATTTGTTGTTTGTTAAAAGTTATTAAAAAAAAGAAGTTGATAATATAAAGATGTGTTTAAGTTTGAACTTGAATTTTATTTGTAGTTAATCTCAGTTGGATATTGTTTGAAAGATATTTAAGTAATTAATGATTAGCTATGAGTACGATCTAAATAAACTCCCTCTACTTCACTTCTGGCATTAGGGCGTGGCCTAGACGGACTTCATCTGGCGCGCTCTGATTAATCAGTAGGGGAAGAGTGGAAAGTAATTAAATCGTACATTTTGATTGACTCGATTCATAGCTGCCCATACGCTGATTGGTTCGGTCCATTGTCGCTCATGAGATAATTGGAGAAAGGCAGAGTGTTGACGCAAGATTGAATTCCATGATAAAATGGCGGATGAGCAAATTGAAAGTAGCATTTTTCACGAGAGAGAAGGTACAAACAACAAATATGAATAGCAGATGAATAGATGAATAGATTTATGATCCTAACCTTGATGGTTCCTTTTTTTCGCGTTTCGATGTTTTCGGCCGAGTGTCGAGTTAGACATGTTAGAAAAAAAGCATCTCTTCTATTATTTATTTTTTTTAGCATTTAAGACTGTGTGTCTTATTTTTTATCTGAAAGAAGAGAAGAAGGTAAAACAGGAATGAATAAATAAGTGTCTCATCGGTGTGTTGATTAGCTCACTTTAGAGAATAAATTCTTTCTGTACTTTATGGTAATAGTATTTTACACTTTCAAAAGTGTAAAAATTCACACTAAACTTGAAATGCGAAGAGTAAAGATGTGATTTAGAGAAATAAACGAGACATACAGTCACAAAATGTTTATTGAAAAAAGTGATTGCTACAAATAGTTCTTTCGCACAAAAACCATTTCTTTCACATTTTACATTTTAAAAAAGTTGAACATGACGGGTGAACATGACGGCATGGGATTTGTTGAGTTTATAATGAAGAAAAATTTTATGAAATAATTATACGATTAATTAGTCAATGCG